CAGTATGCCATCACGCTACCAATAAACCATGCCCAAACACACGTTGCAGGGCCGCCAGACATCATCGGTACGCCGAATGTTGCTGGCACCGATCCGAGCACTCCGAGGATCGAAATCGCGTAGGAAACGGTAGACCATCGTGAAAAATGTCGTTGCAGGACCTGATCTCAATGAGCAATTTATCCTGAGCAGCCTGTCCGTCTACGTGCCGGAGTGTATCCAATTCGAACAAGAAGACGGTCATCGTCATCTGCGATCGTTGCCATGCTGCTTTGGCCGCTGTTTTCTTTTTGTGGCGCTGGCTTCTTGTCCAGGAAGTTGGTCGACCGGTTCGGAGCACGGTGTACGGTGTGACTGGTCGCTTTGACGCTCTCAGACTGTGTGTTGCTTCCCATGATCAATGTCCAATCTAGAACATGGGTGTGGTAAGGGGAGGATATGAAGACAACGGCAATCAACGAGGCGTCGAAGGAAAGTAGAAAGATGAAATAGACGTTAGTGGGTCCCAGGTGGACACAACTAGGAGATTGGGGCAACGGCGTCGGATCACAGACCCAAACGACGGGGACTCGTTACTTGAAACGGAAGGGATATGGATTCATGAACGATGCGAGGGAGTGAGGGCATGTATAAGCTCCGGAGTAACAACGCGGAGGGCTCCATCGCTTTCGGCTCTGCATGGAAGAACCAGTGGTATTACAGAAAGTCTTGCAAACCTACCTTCACAGTCAGAGCTGCACATTCGATAGCATAGTGACACGTGCGAGGCGCGCTGTCGAAGCTGGGCAGAAGAGAAGCTAATGTTCTAGGAAGCAGGGACCGGGAGCGAAACTAGCAAACTGGAGTAGCTTCTTGGGGATAGCGGAAGATCCTGAAGGCTACGTGGTGCTCAAGGTACTTTCATTAGCGGAGGTTGATGTCCTGTAGGAAGGAGAGGCGCTTGAGCCAAGGTGCGCCCACGGCAAGGCGGTTTGGCGATCCAAAATACCGGGCCGTTAAACTCATCCCTGTCTCTGCAGCAAGCAATGACGCTGCAACCATGAGCGCGGTATGACCGTAATCGGAAAGATAGAGTTCGTGATATTAACTCCGTACGTTGGCCTTGGAAGCTGGTGCGCGTCTGTCAGGGTTTCGAGAAAAAGGAAACGCGTCACTTTCATCTCACATCACCGAACTTTTGCCTCAGGATGACGGGAAGTCAGGAAGTTGCGGCGGGCTTCAGCATGGACCTCGATGGCCATGACGCATGTCGGACGAGACGCCGGCCTGTCTTGCGTGATACTTTCAGGTGTTGCGACTCACGGCGCGGAAGTAGCCTGTGGTAAGTTTTCAATTGCCTTCCCCCTGACCGGACGGTCTTCATTTCTCTGTAGCGGTGAAAGATGCAGCTGATTGGCCATCGCGCGTGTCATTGTACGCGCTCCGCCAAGATGATCTTGAATGCGAGGGTGGTCAGGGCAGGTTAGATTGCTGTGTTGTCTTTTACGAGGAAATAGTGAACCGCGTCTCGTGTTGTTGCAAGAGCCCAAAGAGGCGGGCACAGCCGAACCGAGCTTCCCACAGCGACGGAAAGTACCTTCCTCGACAACAGCATCGTCACCTCATCACCACTCGACAGTAGCACACAATGTATCCGCGACAACATACTCGCCATGTACAACCTCTGTCGTCAGCTTATCGCGATATTCGGCGTCGCGCCATAGTGCTGCAATGTAAGGCGGCACCACGTGCGTCTGCATGGTCGTCCCGCGACCAATGTTCATCCAACACGAGATTTGTGGCCCGGTAAAGAGCTTTAGCTTCCACACACCGTCCTCTTGGGATCTTCCTACGTGCCAGGATGTATCCCTTGCTTTCAATCCAAGTGCCGATACATACGATCTCTTGCGGTGAAGGATAATCCTGCAAACCAATGGAGACAAAGGCTGAGAATGCTGAGCTCACATGACATCCGCCACTCCGATGTTCCTCCACTCCTGGCCCACTATCAAGCCTCGCTCTCGGTTTGAAAAGAGCGGTGGAAGGTCAAGAACCCACCTTGGGTAACTGCAGCGTAGTCTTCCCGTTTGACCGGACCCACAAGCCGTTTGAACTTCTTTGACGGCAGCGAAACCCTGGTTGACAGTCGACGTCAAGCCCGTGACTCTCCTACCAGATCAAGTAAGCGACTCCTGCTGCAGGTTCAAGTCCACGGCAATGTGTCGACCGGAGCGTGTCCAGCTTTAGGGTGCAGCACCGGCCTTCACAGCGTTCAATTCGCTCTTTGGGCATTAGCACAGTAGCTGCACGCCAGGCTGTCGTGCGTTGGACGCAATGATCCTTCATGCGCGTGTACAAAATGTCAGCATGCGTCGACATGAGAGCTGAGAAGATGTGGCGCACACCATGGTGCTTTGCGCATCAAACGAGCACGGAGAATTCCCTGATGATAGTCTTCCAGAAGATGTACTCCACGATGCCATGGTTTCAGAATGATGCCGAAACGCTGGGAGACGGGCCGCTTGAGACAGTCAGCCCTATCTGGCTTGGGCCAATAGAAGGTCCCGTGCTCAGACAATTTCAAGCTACCACAGCCCAAAGATCGGTGAACATCGTAGTGGCTTACATCACAGCATGTCGTCGGCGTCCACAGAACGACCACCGTTTCTGCAGGGGTCGCGGACGCAAACGATATGTGTGTGACTTGCAGTATGCTTGTATTGTGCGATCCTCCATCAGGTAATGTACACTGGTGTTCTGCTACCATGAAATGCAGATGCTACAGGTGGGAACTCAGCATGCGGCAAGAATCGCAGAGTACATGACTGGAAGATTGCTCGCACAACAAGGGTCCACCAAGCCTCGATGATGATGTCCCTATCTCTCACTCCTTTCTGTTCTATCAGACTTACAACCAGATCGAGCTGCTCTTCGTCGACGTAGCTATGAAAGACTTCGACGATGTCACTAGACGGCGATCCCGGTACGAGCAGGGGATCGGTTCTGTACATGGGTCTCGCAAGTTTGCACACTCTTTCCCATGCCGCAACGCCTAGATGGAGGTGAGCTAAAATGAGGTCTCCGAACACCATGCCATAACGATTCTGGGCGTCTTCGAAGTATGCGGTGGTCTCATCGAAGACATCATGGGCAAATTCAATAAGATCCGCCGGACACCGCGACTGCTGACCCATCTGAAAGTGGAGGCTCTCATAGAAGAAGTGCGGCCATCGAGCGGCGTATGTGATGAGATGGCCGAGGAGAGTGTTTAGGTGTGCTGAGTAGTGTCCACTGGTGGTGTACTGCTCTAATCGGCGACGGAAAACGATTCGAGCCCAATGCGTAGCGAGTGATTCAGTGTCCGCAGACAGGGCATTGGTCACGGTGGTGATGCTTGATCCTCGCAGTGGCAAGAAGGGAGATAACATACTCCGCAGGTCGCACATGAGTTCGAGACTTCCCCATCCATCCTGCTTGATGATAAACTCAACGACCTCCTCGGCGACGCCGATCGATTCAAGCGAGCCGCGGAGCATCGCAAGGCTGGACGTATGCAGTGTCTTGTTGAGATGTGTGTGCTCCGCGGCGCTGGTGCTGTGTACAACGTGGATATCTGGGAGGTTCAAAGCCTGACAACCTGGGATGATACCGCAGGCTAGCTTATCGGCTGCTTCTGTGTGTATGCGAGTGTGAGGGCGAGCTGCATGCGACGGATGGTACGATTCGTCAAAGGTGTATTGTACCAGAACTCCAAACCCTCGGATAGTGGTACTGCTGATGGTGTGTCCGTTTCCTTCCGCTCTGATGTAGCCGCGACTTGGTTGTAAGTCTCGCCATGCCATGCCCAGTCGATGTGCCAGCACTACTAATGTTCCCACAGTCGTAGTAGCGAGCGGTCGAACAACCTCTGGAGGCATGAAGTCCCACGACCATTCGCGCAGTACCATAGCTGGACTCAGTATCGTCGATGTTGGAGTCTCCTTGTGGTGCTTCACCGCGCCAAGTTCATCCCATATGGCCTGCTGGAGGTACTCGAGTTGCTTTAATAGGCTGATCCAACCGACCTGGTCTGTACTTGTCTCTTCATGCCTTTCAACTGGTATTGGGTGGGTCCAGAGGCCTGAGTGGTCAATTGCAACAACGTCTCTCCTGACGAGTCTGCGTTCAGCGACCTTCCGGCTTGGTGGGATTGGGATGTTACTTTGCAAGATGATGTCAGGGGTCGTGAACTTCACCTCGAATCTGAACTGGCTCCATCGCCAAGTGAGGCGTGTTTTGCGGGCCCAAGGCCCCAGTACGGAGTGTTGACATCGACGGTAGCCCTCGGCGGTGCTGAAGACTTGCTGTAGCAGTTGGCCGATAGCAATGGCGAGCGCAGTGAGTGCGACGGCAAGAGCAGCGCCTGCTAGACTGATCTCTCCATTGGCCATTGGATAGCTATGGTCGTGAGATCAATTGAGGACGATGATATCGAGACAGCGCGATCAATGCCCTTTAATTTTGACTGCGTAGCGCAAGTGCTGCGCCTCAGGCGTCCTGTGTAGTGTGCAGATCGCCCATATTGATCTTTTGTCAACGCATTCTGAACTGTTATGCGCGCGGTTGCAATGGACTGGTAGTTGATGTCTGGCTGATGAATTGCATCCGAACTTTAGCCATTGCGAGGTTGAGGCAGCCGCGATCGTGGATGCCGCCCGCCGAACCGCACTGCCATCTCCAACCCAGCACCATTAACGACAACGCGCATCTATCTTATCTACATTTCGGCTTGGCAATCGACTTTGAGCGGTCTGAGGACTGCTGCTCTTGCTTTTTGGATGTCTCCTTGAACAGGGCGAGTGTTAATTGGCTCTGTCGCAGGGAAACGAACTCCTCGTCAACGTGCACTTCGACACAACAGCGATTTAGCGGTGGTATCTCCACTCTACCCGGGTACGCGTTTTGTCACTTTCCTTAACAGGCGATATCAAGAACTACATTACAAATGAGACAAACCATCTCTTTTCCATCAAAAACAGCAAGGGCTCGTGGTTTAGTGGTATAATACTCCCTTAGCATCTAGAGCGTCTCGCAGCTGCATTGCAGCCTACAAGACATCGAAATTCTGACTGGGAGTGGTCCGGGGTTCGATTCCCCGCGAGTCCATCTTTTTGTGCTTCTTTTGAGCCTATGGGCGTCTTCTTTTGGTTGGTGGGAAGGCCTGGAAAAGGTTTCGAAGACTGGGTGTGGGCGGCGGGGCTAGCGTGTTTTTGCGGCTTCAGAATGCCAAATAAGCGAGCTGGAGCGTTGTTCGCATCGAGAACAACATCGAGAACATCGTTTGCCATCTCAGGAACTCAACCGAGGGCCTTGGGCGTGAGGTGGAAGACTGTCTGTCTATGACAATGTCAATTTCGAGGAAAGAGCGACCATCGGTGACTTCGAAACCCTCAATCATGCTGAGTATTGCATGACAACTTGCAAAGAGACGGGGTAGAAAGCGAGTCACATAGTCACGTACGAGGGAACAGTGGTCAAGGTTGATGTCCATGATTGGAGCAGACGTTTATCGAAACGACTGACACTTCACAGAGAAACAGGAATACCGCCCTTGCGTCATGATCAACATCACCTCTTATAATCGCACATCGAGACACGCCAACGACGCGCCACTAAATCTTGTGCAGCCAGATGTGCAGACTCTGGCCACCAGTCCTGTTCCTCTTGTTGTCCCAGCCCGCATCCTTCATCGTCAGTACCCTCGCAACCGCATCGCCATACTTGAACGTCTGTCCCTTCTCCCACATCCCATTACCCAACTCAATGCACTCGGTGATGGCCATATTTTCACACTCATCCGCGCTCGCATTATTGTTGCACACCTGGATCAGGCGGTTCAGACCCGTGCTGGAAGATATGTTGAACATCTCAGTCACGAACGCAGCCCCCGGAGACAGCCAGGGACATACATTGCCTTTGATCTGGATGAACAGCGTGTGCTCGCTGGCTTCGACGTGCGTCACACCTGATGGTACGCCGCCGGGGATCTGGGTCACGTCTTGTTGCTCGGGCTGAGGCGGCGCGCCGCCGTTGCCGTCGACGGCGATGGGTGCTGGGCAGTAGCCTGGTAATCCGACGCCGCCCATCATGCCCATGCCCATGCCCACGCCCATGACTGGAGGGACCATAGGAGCGACACCGCCTGCGACTGCGGGAACGTTGCCAAATGCGAGGCCGCCGGTGGACCAGAGTGGTGTGGTGGGTGCAAAGGCGGGCACCACGCCTGTTGCGAGAGCGCCAGGGGGAGGTGGTGGAAAAGGCATGCCACCTGCTGCGTGGAGACCGAAACCTATGCCACCGTGAGCACCAGGAATAAAGTTACCTGGATCTGTCAGTTTGAGATCACATACAGTTGTCGTAAATTGGACTTACCAGTTCGAATGGGCGCCAATGGACCCCCTCCGCCGTACATGAAGGGGTCCATGAAAGGCACAGGGGGAATCATACCTAAGCCGATACCTGCGCCGAAGGGAGGGAAAACACCAGGATAGCCTCCGATGCCGATGGGAACTGGAGGGCTGTAGATGGACGCTTGTTGATGTTCAACGACGACTTGATTTGTTGCTGTGGCTGGAGCTGGTGCACCGCCTGAGACGACGTTAAGTGGGGGAGGTAGTCCTGGGTCGCGGTTGATGTTGGGATTGGTGCCGACGTTTGCGCACCAAGGTTGACCAAGGGGAGGGCCGCCGGACATGAAGAGAGTGGGAAAGGCTACTGACTCTGAGCAGCAGCGAGAGCGAGGGTCAAGAACGAGGAGAGGCTGATGGAAGCTTCGAAGCCTGCTGATGGAAAGATAGTGAGTGATGAGAATGGTGCGCTTGAGCTCGATAACGCACCGTACTTATGTCTGTCATGTCGACGGTACTTGAATGGCAGAGCGTGAATTCCCATATGCTGGTTGGGGACAGTGACGGTGCGATCGCTCAAAGCAACAACGAGTATCTGAAGGACGTCGAATCAGGAGGCCGGTGCGCTGTTGTGATGTGCTATGGCGCTGTGAACTCGGTTGGTGCCACAAACGCGACTTTGGTGTGATTGGATTTCCGGCAAACGATGCAAGACATTCAAAGCATCAGCGAGGAAGTTGTCACAGTGATTTCAGGATGACAATAGAGTGGTTGAGTAAAATCGTGCAGATAGAAGTTCGTTATTCTAAGTGTATCGACAAGAGAAGTGAAAGTGTTCGTCGTCCACCAAGCTCCATCTAGCAGGTAGCGACTTTGGGACCGGGAACGGTGTAGGAGTTGAAGTTGTTGTAGATGTTGGCAGTGTAGCCGGGGTCGGTCGACTTGACGTGTCCCGGGATCTTGGTGGTGGGCGAGAGAGTCTTGGAGCCGCTGCCGGTGACCTTGATCTGAGCGCAGGAGATGTAGAACTGTGGGGGAGAGCCGGGGTTGTGAATAGCGAGCTGCTCGATGCGGAGGAGGTACTCGCCAGCGGCAAGGCAGGAGGGGATGGTGACGGAGTAGTTGTCCTTCAGGTCCCAGGTGGCCTGACCGCCAGAGAAGGTGGGGCCAATCTCCTTGATCTTGACCCAGTCGGAAGAGCCATCAGCAGCGGCAGCGCTGTTGACCTTGGTGACGTAGAAGGAAACGGGTCCCTGGTGGTAGACGGCCTGGTCAGCTGTGAATGTGACTGAGGAGCCGGCAGCGACAGAGACGGTCGTAGTCGAGGCTCCGCTTCCACCACCAACGTTGCAGCGGAGGTCGTTTGAGGCAAGGTCGATAACGGGGGAGTTGTTGTTGGTGTTCTTGCGGATGTTCTGGTACTGGGCGCCCTTGACACCGTTCGCGGTGAGGTACTGGAAGATGTAGTGACCGTGGGCGACCTCAGCGAGCGCCGCGCAGAGGAGGGTGATTGCTGCGAAAGACTTCATGATTGCTGTAGTGGGATGGAGCGAGTGTGACTGTGTGGAAGTAGTCGGGGATGCTGAATACGAGGCCGACGTCTCTTCCAGATTATATACTCTCTCGAAGGCCCTGCGGCATTGCGTTTGCTGCTTCCATATTGTTGTACTCAAACCTTGTCCATCCAAATTAGACGCCCACGCTTGATTGGATTAAGCATTGTCATACAAATGAATCTACATCACAATGCTGGTGATGTCGGTTAATGAGCCGGAACATGAGGCGGAAAGGCTGTCCTCGTTCCCGGCGGCTGTCAAATATGTGGGTCATCTGTGGCCTGAAACATCGACTTTGACAGACAGCGGGCGTGTGCTGGTAGGACAATCAATCTAAATCAATCCTCGAATGTCGCTTCGGTAGTGTTCGAAACAACGACAAGCCATCCTGATCGAGAATTCTCGACCCAGGCCTGAGACCTTGATCGGTAATGTCGACATTTGTAAATGGTCGGACAGTCCACGTGCCGGGTAGATTAATATCTGGGGCAATATACCATATTAGTTGTGGGTTTGAGACGGGAGGCAAGAACACCGACGATGCAAAACAAACAGGAAACAAACGAAACCTTGGCTGACCAGTCGGGCGGCTGCATGGAAAGAGGTGCTTGAGTGGTGATGATGTCAAGCTCAGCGCTTCCTCTTAAGCATTGCTGCCTCCAACTTTCGACTCAGAATCGAACGCCCGCGTCCGCAGGTCTTCCCATGAGTAGACAGACTGCCCCTAGCTCTTCATGAAGGCGATACAAAGCGTCGGCGCATTTGTCTCTGAGGTCGCGTTGGTGTGCTCGCCATTATGTCAATCGTCTGCTCGGAAGCGTTCGTCGAGCATGTATCAAGCACGACAGGAAAGCTCACACTGGGAGGACAGTGTCGATGTGCATCATTGCAAATGTGAATCCACAGACAGCGGGGGTGTTGTAAGCTTATATACCCCCAAATGACCGCAAACTGCCTCAAAACTTAGAACTGCTGGTCTCCGCCTTCTGCGTTTTGCGCCGGGATCCTACCGAGTCCGCAGGACGCTGACACGGCAGACATCCATCGCTGCTGTTCTGCTGGGAACCCGCGTGTATGTCTTAGGGTTTGGTCACATTTGCTGCCTGGTGCACGAGACCCATCAAAGCGACATGAGAAACATGCTTTCTTTGAAGATGCATAGCTGTGCCTTCGTGCGCTCGATGGTGATGTTGCGTCCTGCAGACCGGTCACTTCGAGACTTCGAGTGTCGTCAACTCCCTGAACCTGCTCGGTAGGCCCTGTCATATGCGCTGCAGACTGAGATGCAGTGTTGTAGCATCGAGAGCAACAGAAGGTCAGAAGAACAACATGTGTAGATCTTTGCAAGGCTGAGCTCGGCGGCTCGGTGCTGCCCTTGGCCAAGGAGAAGCGGGGTCGTGTGCCCCGCGGACCTTCACGCATTCACCACACAAAGTAATCCGCTAACCCTTCACGAGCAAGTCCATCCGATGTCAACGACGGCGTGGGCGTTTGTGATAGCAGATCCACCTTCTTATCAAGCTTCGGGAAGCCGTTGAGCACACAAAGTGCCGTGTTGGGTAGCTAATGTAAGACGTGGCAAAGCTACAAATACGCGGCTCGAACTACTTTTTAACCTCTTCGTTTCTTACAGCACTTGTAACATCACCAAAACCTCGAGATGTCTGCTGAAATCGCCACTGACGCAGCGCCGCAAGCCACCAAGGCTGTGGCCTCGCATCCTCTTGCACCGCTATCGGCATCAGAGATCACGACTGCGGCATCGATAATCAAGGCTTCGTGGCCGGCTCACACAGACCTGCACTTCAAGGTCATCACATTACATGAGCCGCCGAAAGCCGAAGTTCTGAAATACCTGGAAGCTGAGCATGCCGGAAAATCAAGGCCATCGATCAGCAGGAAAGCTTTCCTGAACTACTACATCCGTAATACAGTAAGCAGGTTGTGGACATTCCTAAAGAGGCAAAATCTGAAAGTGACTACAGAACAAGTTCCACGAAGCGACAATTGACCTCACGTCAAGGCACGTTGAGCGTAACGTGCTCCTCGGACCCTTTGTTCATGCTAACGGCGATGGCGATGAAATTGTCGCGATCGAGAAGATCGTTCTCGCAGACGAGGGTGTTCAAGCTGAAATCGCCAAACTACAACTTCCAGAGGGTACAACCGTCATTTCCGATCCATGGATCTACGGCAGTGACGG